GAGCCATCAGGTGCAAAGGTCGGCCATCGTGAACTCTTCCAAACCCTGAGCGCTTCTCGTTGCTTGCTTTGTCGGCCCTTTTCGAACCTTGCTCAAGCATATACAAATCAGAAGAATCGTACGATCCCTCACCATTTCTCATAAATCATTTCCTAACACCAGGAGAGCGCCGCATCTGACCTTGTCATTTGACCCTGTTGTCAACCTTCTGACAACCTTTTACCTTCAGCAAAATGGAAGCTTAGCGTTTCGGGACTTTGAGGCTAATGAGTCTGTACCTTCTGACTCATCGGACGTCGGCCGGATCGCACCTTCCCTTTCCCGCTGGGTGATTGACCACCCCTGCTACAATATTATTTCATGATTCTCCACTACAACCTCGTGTCCGGCTAGTTACACAAGAATTTTAATTGCCGTCACCGCTCGCCGCTACCACCAACACCACCGCCATACCAAGAAGATGGTTAGGGAGGCAAAAATGGCATAGGCAGCGATGAGACTTGAAACAGTCAAAAGCCTAGTTTACCGCTTAGGATCTGCAAGGGCAAATTAGTCGATAAAATTAACAGTAAGTTAGAAGTTAAGTAAAACCATCTTCATGGCCAAGAAAACAAATCGCTCTAAAGCTGGAAAGCGAGAGAAAAAAAGGACGACTTAACTTTGTAAAAACTATATTTAGTTTCTATGTTCTTGTTTTCCTCAACATGCCTGTTCATAATTTTTGAATGTGGACTTTCGGATGATGTCGAGGTCACGGCCTAGCAGGGAATGTCCTCTGAGCAAGATTCTCCTAAGCCGTACGTCCTTCTGTGACATGCTCCTTCCATGATTCAAATCACGTAGTCGGTTTAACTACGTTCTTTTCTCGGCTTAAGAGAATCTTTATTTGTTTGAAGCTAGAGAAACAAGAAAATAGGTAAGGTATCGTGTAATGTTATACTAGTCAAAAGATGGGAAGAATGAAAAGGAAGTGAATGTGCTTCTATCTGAATAGCGGTTACAGAAACTTAACTAGGAAATTCCATATTGACACTTTTACGGTGATATAGGCACTTCCTGCCTACCATAGCTTATAGGATTTTTTGTTTGTGATTCTAATAACCTGGTTCATCAAAATGAATATAACAGGAAGGGCGAAAATCCCACCTTTATAATTGCGAGAATTTGACCATAATCACATTTTATCGTCCTTCTGTCGTGCAAAATAAACACCTCAGAGTCAGCCCTGCCACATGGAAAGACAACGTCGGGAAAAACCCATCGAACTAAATTTCGCAAGTTTAATCAGGAACACACACCCAGATGCGTCACGATTACAGGAAGAGCCACATTGAGAGAAGGAAGCCGGCTCTTTACACTAGGCCGTGCTGTGGGACAACCAATTAAGATAACCAGCTAGGAATAGAAAGCTTACTCAATGATTTGCATGTCATAGAACCTTCACAGAGTCCCTGGAAGGGACAACGTACTCTACCCTGTCTTAAGTTTATGTCAACAGATGGTTCCGGAGAGAGTGTGTACCCGGATTGGCGCTGGAGCCAGGCTATCTAGTTAGGTAAGTTTACAATACCCTTATTTTAGAAAGAACATTTTAACAGGATCAAAGTGAGCACGTTTATTGAGTATCGAGCGTAACTAACTATGAAAACACAAACAAAGTTTGAATTAGAAACGCCAACGAACACAAAACACTTTAAAGCTGGTTAAATAACACTATACACTACTCACTACTTACAGTACTCGTACTCGGAAACTCCAACTTTGCACAACAGAGTTACTTTACACAACATTTGTACAATCATTGGGCTCAAGTCAAATTACTTTTGAGGAGCGGGCATGATAGGAATAGTTTTCCTCCTTTCGTGGCCCTCGGTATTCTTCAGAGCCTCTACCGATAGATGGCCCTTGTCGTCAAGCTGAGTACGAACAGCCTCCAGATCGACATTTTCGGGAAGCAGATATTTGCGAGTGAAGGATCTACAATGCTTGTAGCAATCAATAAGCACGAAATGCACATCTTACCGCAAAGGGAGTTATAGCACTTACCTGTGTATGGCACTGTTCTCCGTTTTGTGCTCCTGCTTGCCTTCGATGGTCAACTGACGCCCTTCCAGATGTACATTCAACTCCTCTGGGCGGAACTGGGACACATCCAACGAGACGGCAAATTTTTTGTCGTCGTCTATCATCTAAAATGAAAATCAAATTTCGCAAGTTTAATCAGGAACACACACCCAGATGCGTCACGATTACAGGAAGAGCCACCTTGAGAGAAGGAAGCCGGCTCTTTACACTAGGCCGTGCTGTGGGACAACCAATCAAGATAACCAGCTAGGAATAGAAAGCTTACTCAATGATTTGCATGTCATAGAAGGTTGAGGATGAAACCTTCACAGAGTCCCTGGAAGGGACAACGTACTCTACTCTGTCTAAAGTTTATGTCAACAGATGGTTCCGGAGAGAGTGTGTACCCGGATTGGCGCTGGAGCCAGACTACCTATTTAGGTAAGTTTCCAATACCCTTATTGGTGATAGAACATTTTAACAGGACCAAAGACTGCACGTTCATTGAGTATCATACATAGCAACAATTTATGAAAACACAAACAGAATTTGGATTAAAAACGCTAACAAACACAAGAAAACATTAAAGCTGCCTGAATAATACTATACACTAGTCGTACCATACACAGCTCACTACCTACGGTACTCGTACACGGAACTCAAACTTTACACAACAGAGTTACTTTACACAACATTTGTACAATCAGTGGACTCGAGCCAAGCTACTTTTGAGGAGCGGGCATGATAGGGATAGTTCTCTGCTTCTCGTTGCCTTCGGTGTTCTTTGGAGCTTCTACCGACAAATGGCCCTTGTCATCGAGCTGAGTACGAATAGCCTCCAGATCGACATTCTCGGGAAGCAGATATTTGCGAGTAAACGATCTACAATATTTGGAGCAATCAATAAGTATGAAATGCACACCTTACCGCAAAGGGAGTGATAGCACTCACCTGCGTATGGCACTGTTCTCCGTTTTGTGCTCTTGCTTGCCTTCAATGGTCAACTGACGCCCTTCCAAATGTACATTCAACTCCTCTGGGCGGAACTGGGACACATCCAACGAGACGGCAAATTTTTTGTCGTCGTCTATCATCTAAAATGAAAATCAAATTTCGCATGTCGTTAGTAATCATCTATGGCCCTCTCAGAGAGAAAAAAATCCTTACCTGCCGGGTTTCGTTGGCCACATGAAGCACTGAATGGTCAGCCTCCCTCCAATATGGGAACATGCTCCTTTCGAGAAGGTCGAGATCTCTCATCGTATTGTACAGCATACGGTCCGTTAGACGAGCCACTGGCCACAACACCATTACTGAACGTTGGGAATTTCCTGAAAAAGGATAGCCATGTCAGAGAACTGCGCTATAGAATGATACCGAACTAGTGCTCTAAAGGAAGCCTGAAAAGAACTCACAAAGATAAGGTAACTGCTTGAAGGAAGATTGAAACAGAGCGATACTAGAAGTGGTGCTTCGGGAGCTCCTTAAATACTCGCGGTGATGGATTTCCAGAGCCTTCTGCAACGTTCGTTGTTTGTTGTTTTGCCGGCGTCTCACTCTCTCTCGCAGGGTGGCCCCGCCCATCAGCCTATTTATCGCCGGCGCAGCGAGACGAAGGGGCGGGGTCAGATGGTTCGCGAAGGTTCTGAAGGATCTCCCCGGATGGTATATAAGCAGCTCTCTGGATGGTGGTTTCAGCACATTGAGCCTACATTACTCAGCGATCGACAATGTCTATCTGCGTTCTTCCATTTGCTTCGGAAAAGGCGATCCTGCCTCGTCTTCTGGATGACATCTTCAGCGAACTCGACGACGCCTTCAATCAGTTCTACCAAATTGAACAAATCCTTCCCCCTCCAAGAGTGAGAGCAGGGAGGAAAAGCCCCATGGGCCAATTGTGCAAGGTTGGTAAGAAGTTTTAAAGGAATTTCTCAGCTCACCAAATTCTTCAACCTAATAAGTAAAATCCTTACAGGTCAGCGATGACGGCTCCAAACTGGCGATCTCATTGGATGTCTCGAAATTCAAGCCGGATGAGTTGAAAGTGAACGTAGATGGTCGAACCCTGACTGTTGAAGGCAAACAAGAAGTGAAAGAAGGCTCGAGTTATACTTCAAGGTAAGTCTCATAACTCCAAACATCTACATGATCCTTATTCTACAGATAATTTCTGAGTTCCATTTTTTACAGGTCGTTCCTTCGCCAGTGGACTGTTCCAGAAGGTGTCGACGTCGAGCAGATCCGATCCACGCTCTCTGAAAATGGTCACCTGGCGATCGAAGTGCCGAAGGCCAAGCCGGCTATCACTTCCAGGAGCATTCCAATCCAGAAAGCGGTTGATCAACCAGCAGTGAAGAACAGTTAACTACTGTATAGCTTATTTCTGTATAGCCACGATACCATACGATCTCTCGAAAATATGTAATTGTATATAGTATTCGTAGTGTTGTTAGCAGTGCTCAATAAAACTATAATAAAAAGGGTCTAGCATTTCATATTCTGAATCCTATGTCTACACCTCCTCGAGCCGTCTTCTACAAAAATGGACATTTGACGAAACGAACCCCATAGCTGGCAGCAGTAGTAAGCGCTCATCTCACCAAAATTTTCGAACTGACTCTCCTTCATCCCCAGATTTTCTATATGTATGGGGATATTAAGGAGACGGGCAGTAGGATCGAATTTGTGTGATCGATTCGCCGAGCGCGGCAGTCGCGGACCATTCGCCTCCTCACTGCCGTTCTAGCGGTCTTCATACAGCTCAATCGTTTCGCTATTATTATTTTTGGGACGACTCCAATGTTAGTTCTTTTGTTCCTGTATTTCTTACTTGCTGCTGCATTCTGCTAGATTCCTTCGCACGCGGTGTTACTGTCGCCGCGACGCGACAATGCCGACTCTACTGCATCACACCCGGGAGATCAGACCGTATTGTCCTGATCACTGGCCCTGATCGGTTAAACGAAAACGTCCTAATCGAAACTGAGGTATTGGCAAAGATATCGGAGACAACGGACA